GACGTGAGCAGGCCCTGGAGTAGCAGACATGACGTGAGCAGGCCCTGGAGTAGCAGACATGACGTGAGCAGGCCCTGGAATAGCAGACATGACGTGAGCAGGCTCTGGAGTAGCAGACATGATGTGAGCAGGCTCTGGAGTAGCAGACATGACGTGAGCAGAGGCCGTAGACTCTGACGTGACATGAACAATTCCGGACATAACAGTTGGGACGTGAAAGTGCTCTGGTGCGGATGGAAATTCTGTAATTCAGGTTCTATTAGGCCCAGCTCTCTTTACTTTGTTTGATGCCACTAGATGCCAAAAAGTACCAGAAAAAATAATCTTTCAAATAACAGCTTCTAAACAGGAGTTATTACATTATAAGTGAAGCGAGTTAAATTGTCTATTTTTGCATCTAAATGTGTCATTGTGAGTTTCTTTTGCAAAAACAGACTTTATAAAACACATTAACCCCACAATCCTATTTTACTCTGTGCCATAAGCACTTTAATTGATTATTACTTGAATTATGTTTCATTTTTATGTTTTTCTAAGTAATAATATACAAAATGGCACAAGCGAATTGGACCCAATTTCACATATTGTGTATTCTACAATGTTTAATTATTTCAGGATGCACAAGACTGTCTACATTATAAAATATATCTGGTCTATCACAATCTAAAATAGAATCCATATCCTCCAGCTTGATATCATTCCATTTATATGCATTCTGTATTGGGATACTGATTCACAGGATCCTCTCACCTCATCAGCTCACTCCTGTATCCAGAGCATCTCTCCATGACAACATTGCATCATCCCTGGTCCAGAGCGGAGCTAATTTGCTAGCCGGCAGCTATCTGAAGCATTCAGAGTGTCAAACAAACACATCAGTTCATCCACACAGCACTGTAATAATCCATGTATATTTACAGTATATTCACTGAAATGCATAATGTACTGTACTTTTCTGTCAATAAACAGTGTATCAGATTGCTAGCTGTGCTATCACGTTTCAAAACAACGATTCAAATATAAAAAACGCTCAAACACATGCTCATAAAGCCTTACCAGATGCGCATTCATTCCTCTCCACGGCGCCGCTGAACATTCTTCACCATTTATAACTTGTAATATGATTATCATAGATTGATATTATCCGAGCCGCGTGTGCAGTATCCTTTCCATGAGGGAAACGCGCCTTCAAATCATCGAGTCCCAAAACTACAGAGACCAAGTCACCCAGCGTAAATTCCCGGATGTAAAGAACCCCCTCTCCCCCCTCTAGTGATGCAGAGGTGTCAAATTTCACGGCTCTGAAATGGCCGCCGAGTTGAGAGACATGTAATCTGACCAATTGCAGTCCACAACCGAACACAGATCTCTAGAACATCAGACACGCTGGCCGTGCGCGCTTTTGATATGAAGAGCCCCTGTTTTCCAGACGCGCGTCTATTTCGCAACCTGGACAAAACACTATATATCTCACCGATGGAAGCACGCAGAAACGTGAAAATGGTCTTGTTTGAAAGAAGAGATCCTAATCTAAAAGATAATATAGAGTATATAGATATTTGTGACTGTTTGCGGCTGACTGAAGCAGTGCTACGAGAAATGTAAATTTGCTCAGAGGTGACAAAATTTTACATCGCGATTCTATTGAATATCATTCGATCTGTGATTGTCACACAATTAAATAATCTACATCGTCAAATTCCTGAGAAAAAGAGCTTTCTTGTGATATATGACTTGACTTTTTTGTGAAAAATATATAAAATACACATTCTTCATAAAAATTATGGTTAGGCGGAAATTCGTGTGTGGGACGAATACATTTCTAAGCTTAATTTTACTGCTTTCTGAATATAAAAACCAAAATGATGGTATTCTTTGTAAAGAAGACACTCCAAGCTTTCAAATGAACCCATATATGGGCTTATACCATATACGGAAGGCTATGTAAATGAAGCATAAACATTTTTAGCGCAATTTTGGATCCGGGTCCGCAGAGTTTAACTGAAGTGACTCTTGGAAAATATTTTGCACAATGTGAATTTATTTCGATAAAAACACAAAGAAAAGAAAATTTTGCTTTATAAGAAGATCTGCTTCATTTCCACATTGGGATCATGTTTGTGTGCTTCTTGTTTTAAAGTCTTCAAGCATGTTACTGTTAAGGACTGAAAAACACAATTGTATAGAAAATATTCTGTGCCGTTTTGACTATCAAATGGCAAAAATGTCAGCTTTATGTGATGTAATAACTAGATTTCCATATTTTATGAGTATATATTCTACTGGCATTCCATTGAAAAGTACCAGTGGTGAAATAGTAAATAGTTGTAAAAAAAAAAAAAGAACTAATTGCATTTATACTTTCAGTAGAAATACTTGCTAATTAGAACATTTGAGTACATGTAACTTTAAAATACACTAACAAATTTGGAAAAACAAAGTAGATCCCACTTGAAATTTGTAATGGGGAAATAAAAAAATTAAGTTGGATTCAATCAAAAATACACATTTAGAACTCTTAAAGTTATGTAGATCACACAAAAAAATGACTAAAGAAATACTAAAATTAAGTGTACTTTATGTGCAAATTTTCTTTCAACAGACAGAAAAATTAAGTAGTTTGTACAAAGACTGGTCTTGTTCGATCTACGTAATAAAACTGCAAAAAAATTCATCATATTTTTTAAGTAAATCAAGCAGAATTTTTTTTATCAGTGAACAGTCTCCCTGAAACTGAGCTATGCTATAGTATAATATTGATAGTTTAGCATTGTGATTTCTGTAACTGCTGAATTCCAGCACTATTCTGTTTTTAGAAATGAACCTGCAATGAGAGAACCTTCTCTATAATCTTTCTTCAATATGTGGTTGAAAGCTGAATATTAAAGTTTTCCATCCCACCGTTCAACATGCATGTACAATGCTTATATTCTTACTTGCATAAACAAGACACAAAGTCTCTCATTAGCTAATTTATGTCATTTTCTATTTCATTTGTCTTTACAGTTCTTGTTTTTAACATTTTCTGAGGTGAGCCGCTCCTGTTGATCAGCACTCCTAACTTTATGCTACATGCTCATGCCCTTAGTTCTTCTTGAATATTCTTTTTCCTTCTTATAAAATGCCAAATCAGCATAGGATTTACATTCTTATGTATATGCAATTTTTTTAAAAATACAATAATTTATAAACAATTATTCTTTCACAACCTTTTGGCCACACCACTAGGTCAGGCTTCAGCAGACATTGGCTTTCTGGATGGCTCATTACTGGACGGGGTCACACGAGGACTCATTCTGCTGTAGCACAAGAATAGCTGAACTACGTGAGGTTGTCAGTAAGAGAACGCACATGATCAAAATCACTCAGCACAAATCCCATGTAGGCATAAAGGGCCATTAAACATACACTGGTGTGCAACGAATTGTGATTTGAAGTCATCTGCCCTAAAAAGCCTACATGTCTGATGTACTGGCCCTAGTGTGGGCACTTGAAGGAATTGAGGAAAATGAATTGACAAAGTACTTAAAATACGTTACAGAAATTTAGCATTTTCTCTCTTTCAGAATAGTTGAAATGAATGAGTAAAGAGATGGGAGAAGATGTGGGCCAAAAAACAAAACGGCTTAACAAAGAAACATCAGTCGGACTACAACAAGGCCTCTTCAACATGTTGCCATGACAACTGACACCATCGGGGTGGGTAAGGGTTAGGATTTGGGTCAGAGTGACAAAATTGACTATGTTTTGTGTTGTGAGAACAATAGGTGTATTCAGAGATATTCCAGAGCATGAGACAATAGCACAGAGACTGGCTGGTGATCAATAGATCAATGGCCTCTTTGTGCTTCTATAGTAGAAAGCATCCTGATCACAATGGGAATGTAAACAAATAATGTGATAGTGAAACACGGTATTGATACACCATTACCCTTTTATATACTCCAAATAAAAATAAAAATAAACCCTCACACATACAAAATAAAAAAGGAGTAATTAACCAATCAGAGGTTCAATAGGGCTAAACAGAGAACATAATAGCAAACTGTTGAAAAATCTCACTGCACAGCATTTTACAAAGATGATAACATAATATTCAAACCATGAATATCAAAATCATACACATCTCTAGGCAAGATTAGCTCACATTGCCATTAGGAAGGAAAGGGGAAGAAAACGGCAAAGAAATTCTTAAGTCTGCCTAGATTTCATTCTGAAAAACTGAACTGTACAACAAAGACATTTTCTGATCATGTACCTCTTGCACAGGATTTTAAGGAGATAAATGTGGAAAGTCACAATAATGCCATAAACTTCTCATAAAATTATCTTTTGTTATTCACACCAGTCTGTGTAACCTCCAGCCCTTAAGATAATCAAAGCTAAAAAGATCCTTTACAGTACACCAATGTGTACTATCAAATGGCAAAAATGTCAGCTTTATGTGATGTAATAACTAGATTTCCATATTTTATGAGTATATATTCTACTGGCATTCCATTGAAAAGTGCCAGTGGTGAAATAGTAAATAGTTGTAAAAAAGAAAAAAAAACTAATTGCATTTATACTTTCAGTAGAAATACTTGCTAATTAGAAAATTTGAGTACATGTAACTTTAAAATACACTAACAAATTTGGAAAAACAAAGTAGATCCCACTTGAAATTTGTAATGGGGAAATAAAAAAATTAAGTTGGATTCAATCAAAAATACACATTTAGAACTCTTAAAGTTATGTAGATCACACAAAAAAATGACTAAAGAAATACTAAAATTAAGTGTACTTTATGTGCAAATTTTCTTTCAACAGACAGAAAAATTAAGTAGTTTGTACAAAGACTGGTCTTGTTTGATCTACGTAATAAAATTGTGCAAAAAAAATTCATCATATTTATTAAGTAAATCAAGCAGAAATTGGGAAGCATGACACTAACATCATGAATGAAATTACAAAATAAAAGACATGAAAACAAGAACAAGAAACAGAACCGTAGTTCCCTTTCAGTCGGCCAGTATGCAGCAGATGCAGCGCATATTCAGCTTTTCGCTTTGGAGCCGAGCGGTTCTATCGTTCTGCTCCTGACCTTCTGCTGAGAGTAAAGCTACAGTCAAGCACGCTCTTCGTGGGCTCTCGTGCTGGTGAATGGCGCTTCAGCGGCGGTGGTTTTCCCGTGTCAAGTGTGCTGCAGACGGCCATCTCCCCTGTGTGCTTCAGCACACTAAAAGAGCAATTTCCATCTTAAAGAGCTTCATGGGTGGAACGTCTTTTTAAAGACGCGTCTTTTTAAAGATGTCGTACCATCCGTGTGTTTCTGGGTGCAGTCGTTACATGGCGCCGGGTGATGGTCACGATCGCTGCCTCTCGTGTCTGGGCATGAAGCACGCTGAGGTGGCTTTCGTGGATGACTCATGCTCCCATTGCGGGGGTATGACCATCTCGGAGTTGCGGACCAGACTCTGTTACCTGCAAGGGGGCGGAGTGCCCCTGCCACTGCCTAGATCTGGGGTTCCCTCTGGCGGCAGCCCTTCTACTGGCAGTGGGTGGACTGGTCTTACGGTCATGGTGAGGAATTCCCCTCCGGGGATGCCCCAGCCAGCCGGCACTCCGAAACCAGCGGAGCTCTCAAAAGAGCAGGCTGGACCCTCCCGGAGGGTACCACCTGCTTCTTCCGAGGCTCCCCCTGACGACCGGATGTCGGTTGCAGCATCGGATGGTGAGCCGGATTTCTCCGGGGATGAAGAGCCGTCAGCGTTGCCGCCCTCTGGGCAGTCAGCGGTGCCGGATATGAACCCGGAAATGATGGCTATGCTTTCCCAGGCCGCCGAGAGTGTCGGGCTCGAGTGGAATCTTCCACCGCGTCCCAAACCCTCAAGGTTGGACGATTGGTTTCTCGGGGTGGCGCGCGCTGGTTCTCAGGGCCCCACCCCAGTGCCTTTCTTCCCGGAGGTGCATGATGAGATCCCTGGGTCGTGGACGGCACCTTTTACTGCCAGAAACAGGCCCGGTGGCTCATCCTCCCTCACCACCCTTGATGGGGGTCCAGCGCGGGGGTAAGCGGGAGTTCCCCAGGTGGAGCGGTCGGTTGCGATGCAATTGTGTCCAAATGCCGCTACCACTTGGCGGGGAAAACCGCTGCTCCCCTCCCGGGCCTGTAGGCACTCGTCGACCTTGATCGGCAGTGCTTATTTGGCCTGTGG